CGGTAAATATCAATATAAAAAGAAAAACCACCACCATGCAGGTGCTTGGCTATTAGTGGTAGGCAACCGAGAGCAGGAATTCCTAGGTGTAACCTGAACAAAGAAGGTTCTCAAAAATGCGGAACTGCTCCTCCCAGGCGTGTCACACCAAAATTCGCTTCAGACTATCTGTGCAGACGGTTCCCCTCAGCTCGTTGGTTGAGTGAGTTATGTCCACGGCTAAATCCCCAAAAGAGCGAGAAAAAGGCTCCGACAAAAAAAAACAATATTTTTAATAAAAACCCCACCACCATAAAAATCGCAACTCTTCGTGTGAAACTATTTCACAAAATCGGGTGGTGGGTCGCAGAATTCCTACACCAGAGCACCGGAAATAGCATGAAGTCACCTCCAGCTCTCGTATTTACGGTCGACAGAAATTATAAAAAATGACCTCCAACGAGACGGAGTTTCTACGACAAAATTATTAAACCAGGAGAAGTGTTTTATTACTAGTAGTAGTAGTAGAAAGATTTATTTAGCACATTTGGCTACATAAACAGAACAATTGTAAACAACTTAGAACTAGTAAATTCAAGCCATATGGTGTATGATGTGAATGCTGGGCAACCTATAATTGTAGATTTAACAAGTGATTTCTCAATTTTACTTTAAATTTTGTCAAAGTTTTCTGGTCTTTTATCTCCGAGTATAATTTATTATATTCAATCAACCCTTGATGGAATACAGATTTGTAGCATATGTTATACTTTTTGGTCATTAAATGGAAGTCATCTTTATTTCTGGTATTATGTAAATGATGGTCGACATTTGATGATGTTAAATTAGTTAGACTTGATGGAAATATATTATTTTTTACTTTATAAATGAATATCATTACAAGATATTTGATAAAATTTTTTACATTGAGCCATTTTAATTTGCTAAGCATTTGCCTAATTGGAGTATATTTATCTTTATTTAGTATTATTCTCATGCACTTATTTTGTAAAATTTGCAGTCTTTCAAAAATGGAATTATTTGCTAAATATAGAATAGTCGAACAGTACAAGAAATTTGGAAGAATGATGGTATTATAGATAATTTTTCTGCTATATGAACTCAGACATCCAGAAACTCTCGATAAATATCCCACTTTACTACTAATCTTATTTATAACTTTTTCATAATGAATATCAAAAATTAATCGAGAGTCAACAAAAACTCCCAGGTATTTAAAATTTTCTACGAATTCAATATCTTCACCATCAATATTCAGTTGAACATTTGTACATTGTTTTTTTCCGATTAACAAGGCTTTCGTTTTACTTGCATTTAATTTTAGTCTGTTAGATGCTAACCATTTTGAGACAAGCTTCAAGTCTTCATTTATATAAGAGATACCAGACTGAATATTTTTAGTACTTATATAAATCATAGTGTCATCGGCGAAAATTTGAATTTTGCATTTTTTGACTATGGCAGGTAAATCATTTATGTATAAAATAAAAAGAAGTGGTCCCAGGATACTGCCCTGTGGAACACCCAACGTATTTTCAATTTTTGATGAAATAGTGTCATTAACTTTTGTAACTTGCATCCTTTTAGACAAATAATTTCCAAACCAATCTAAAACACTTCCTGTTATACCATATGCCTTCAATTTACCTAACAAAATATCTCTATCAATCGTTTCAAATGCCCTCTTCAAATCCAAAAATACTGCTATGACAACTTCTTCTGAGTCTATGGCTCTTCTCCAATTCTCAGTTACCAACTGGAAAGCTGTTTCTGTGGAATATTTTTTTCGAAAGCCTGCTTGCGCCTCCACTAAAATTTTGTTTTCTTCTATAAACTGCATTAATTGGTCATGCACTATGGACTCTAATAATTTTTCAATGTCTGGTAACACATTTACTGGTCTCATATCGCTGCATCTTTTAGAATTTTTTATCTTGGGAACTGGTGTTATTGTAGAGCATTTCAAATTTTCAGGAAAAGAACTGCTTCTCAGTGAACAATTGATCCAATTTAATACAGGATATCCCAAAATTTCGAAACAGTTTTTCAGCACGTTTTTAGTAATCATTTCGGCACAGTTGTTATTTGATTTTAAACTGTTTACTTTTTTTCTTAGATAATTCAATGATACGCTGTGAAATTTTGAAAGTGTATGCAACATTTCCCCCTGGAAACTGATTTTCATATAGTCAGGTGCAGCATTGGCAGTACCTACAATATCAACAATACTTTCCACAAAATATTCATTTAGTTTGTTTGCAATCACCAAAGAATTTGTTTCGGTACCGTTTTCGAATTGAACTTGATTTACACAATCATGCGGCTTCGAATTGATCAGTCTTTTTAAAGTCTTCCACATCTTTACACTGTCGCACTTGTTATTATCGATTTGTTTATCGTAGAATTTTCTTTTTTCTTCTCTAATTACATATACACATTTATTCCTAAGAGTTTTATATACCTCCCAATCATCATTTGATTTTGTGAATATACATTTATTGTATTGTTTGTCTCTCAAATTTTGAGCTACCTTAATATTCTTGTTATACCAGGGTGTATTTTTTGTCGAGCAAATCAGTTTTTTATCAGTTGCAAGATCTAAACAAGTTTTTATATTTCCTATTATGTTGTCATATATTTTTTCCATATTCTCACCAAAATTCCAATAGCAGCCAGCAAGTTCTCGTTCAAGTTTTTCGTACTTAATAGTATTTACGATTTTCTTAATTTTTGTATCAGAAAAATGCCCTACCAAGGGCAGCATTGTCCAACTGTGATCGCTAACTTTAGGTGTATGTACAGCTTTAATCCCTGCACATTCGAAATTTACAATAACAAGATCTAACAAAGTCTCTGATAATGATGTTATTCTGGTACTCTCTTCAATTTTTTGCTTGAACCCATAGTTGTTTATGGTTTCTTTCAATTTTCTTGTTTTCATGCTTTTACCATAATAATTTAAATTAAAATCACCTAAAAGTATTATATTGTTTCTAAAATTCCACATTTCTTCGCATTTTTCTTCAAAAAACGTTAAAAATGTATCTGCATCACTGTTTGGTGAACGGTAAAAAGTACAAAGATCATAACGTTTCCCAAATAATTTGAACTGTATATGTGCATACCAGTATGCATAGTCTAAAGTGGTACAATCGAATAATGTGATCTGTATTTTGTGGTAAACATAAATCACTACACCTCCAGTATGTCTGGAGTTGGAGTTGCATCTGTAGGTTTTATAATTAGTAATTTGTAATTCACCATCAGTGATGTCTTCTGTAGCATGTGTTTCGGTAAGACATAATACAAGTGGTTTTCTCCATCTTAAAAACTGTTGAACTTCATCTATATTATTCAGGACTCCTTGTATGTTTAAATGGTATATTGAGTTATATTCATCACTTATAGATTTAGCCACGTCTTGCAAATCTGAGCTTAGTAGTTGCTATTCATTTGCATAATTAATTTTTTCCCTCTCACGTTCAATTTTCCTTTTATATACTTCACAATTTTTGTCAAATGGTCCATGATTAATAGGTAATCCTAGATTAAAATCTTGGTTTGCACTTTTACAATTTGGACAGCATTTGTACATTTCACTGGTACTACAGTTTTCTGTTGAATGTCCTTCTAATCCACAAGTAAGACATCTTCCTGATTTTGTGCAGTATTTAGCTGTGTGGTTAAATCCGGTACATTTATAGCATCGCAAAACATTGATGTACTCGAAAACAGAGCAAACAGACATGTCGATAAAAATAACACCCTGATTCATAACACACTTAAAAGTCACAGCATCCACTTCTAAAATTGCTTGATATTTAGTTTTCATTTTCTTGACTGTAATTACTCTCATATGTGAATTTTCTTGAAAAGATTCATTTTGTGATTTTATAGTATTTATTAGCTCGTCTTCTGCATATTCTTGACAAAATCCAATAACTTTGATTTGTGGTTTTTTACTTATCTCTGAAGTTTTCACTGTATATGTTTCTGGCATTTTTGATTTTATTTCATTATGTAGCTTCGCGTTATCATCTTTTGTTTTACATTGGATTTTCACCCCACCATCTTTCAATTCATAAACTTTTTCAATAGCAATTTTCAAACTGGTAGGATTCACAAATTTTGCGATGTCTTTCTTTGTGTTATTACACTCTTGTTGGTTATTAGGCTTAACAATGACTGTATTTGTGGGTTTTAATACTGGTGATTGTTTTTTTGCTGTACATGTTTGTAATGGTACGCATTGTTGCTTATATTCTACCATTTGTGTAGGCGAATTAACGGTTGAAGGCCCGGAAGCTTTAACCATCTTAGCGTAAGTTGTAATTGCTTCTTGTGACGGCTGTTGCATTTTCCCAATTTTTTTGTTTAATTGGTCTATCTTTTCGTACAATTCTTTTATTAATTTCTCTTGAATCGAAATGGTATAATCTTTTAGTTTCAAAACTTCCTCTGTACAAAATCCCTTTTCACTCAGTGAGACCACACTCTCCACTTCCTCACTAGCTCCATCCTTTTTAGAGTTTTCCTCCATATTCACACTAAAAATTCAGGAATCTCCTAAAAACCTTCTTTAGCTTGACCTAATTTTTGACATTAGAAGTCAAAAAAGTATTTCCAGAATTAATTTTGTGCAATCTCTTCCGTGTGGGATCTGCAGCTGCAAACAGGTGTGGCGATATATATTTCGTTAATCTTCCCGGTGATCCTTGGTTGATATTTTTATGTGTGGTCTTTACCAATATTTCGTGTCTGTGTTGGAGCGAATAAAAAGAGCAAGTGTAGTAGTTAATATAGCAAACTTCAGTAATATGAAATTCGATATTTTTAAGAATGGCTATAGAATTATTATTCTAAATAAGAAAAACGTTGTAGTAATTTACTTTAACAAGATGTAGTCAATTTTTAATCGACCTTAAAAAGAAACTTAGAGTTATGAGCTGCTGAGATATCGATAAGAAAGTCCAGATCATTGTTAATGTCTTTTTCTCAAGGTTGCCTGTAACTTGCTGAACCCTTACAAGTTTGTGCTCGATCCTAACTGCAGAAAAGTCTTTGTTAATGTCAACCGATGGTTCAACACATTAGTTCACCAGCCTGAGTTCAAGGCAGTTCTGGGAGAAGTTACTCTGTGCAGCAAAACAGCTCAGATTCAAGCATCAGGCGCACAAGGGCAAGATGGTAAGAGTACTAGACACATACTTGTTTTTTTCACGAATTTCACCATAGTTTCCGTTTTACCCGGTCATAGGATACGCGCATGCCTCATTTCACGTTTCAGATTCAAGTTTTTAAGGGTCATATAGTCAGTCGTTCCTGAAATTGTACAATGTCTGTGGCAAGGTAAACAGGACAAAGAAAAAATGAACAAACATTTTTTGTTTCGGTAAATCGAATTTATTTTATTCAAAATAGTCTTCTTCAGAGTTAATAAAGCTATTTGCACGGTCGGCATACCGCTGTCCCCAAATGTGTGCCATATCAGGAGAATATGGGGAGTAGTTGATGGTTAAAATGACAATTTTGCAACAAGCGCCAGCTTCCTTCTTCGCGATATTCTGGCCGAACACGACGAATACATAATCAAATTCAAGCGGATAACCAAATGGAAATGGTATTTACCATTTTGGGTTGGTATTTACCAATCCGTTCAAGCGAGTGTAGTTATCAGTTTGGTTATAAGATCCGTGACGTCACGAATCAGCTGTTATATGTCATAGTTATCACCGCAAAATTGTGGTATTTACCCAACTCAAGAGTAGTTTTATATTTCTGGTTATTATTTGAAATGTGACAAGTTAGAATTTTGCCGGGTATTGGATATTGTTATTGTACTTCAGCTTCATTTTTGAGAAAAATGATACAGGCTGACTTCAGTTTTACCATAAAGTGGAGCACCTTATTAGTTATACTCATTACGGTTGTTGGGGACACTTTAAATGTAGTTCCTATGCTTAACAAAGTATCATTTGTAGCCATATAGCACAAGGATATTAAAATATGGCCATATAAACTCACTAGATGATATCCACCTGTATACGGTTTTGCTAATTTCTTTTTTCATCATTTCTGCTGAATCAATAAATGTTTTCTTTGACATGCGGAAAAATTTAGAGAATTGAAAGTTATCACAGCTACAAAGCCATGGTTCCATCATTAAAAAAAAATCTGAAAAAAACATTTCTCCCATGAATATTAAGAAAGGTTTCTTATTTAAACTTTCCATATACAGTTGTAGACGAAAAAGCACCGATTATTAAGTGATAATAAAAATAATCAGAGATTATATACGCGCTTTTCTAAAATAAACAACTTGCAACAAAACCGCGGTTAAAACCAACGCGTTCAAGCGATTCGTGTAACTGACGTCATCAACCCGTGTGTCATCTTGAACCATATTATAACCGCGGCACATAACACAGAAATTTTGGTTATTCGCTTGGATTTGATTCATGACAGCAAACACCAAGATAAAACACAGAATTAACCGTTTGGCCCGGTGGAACGAACTCGTGAGTAATTCCCTTCGAATCGTAAAAACAAATCAACATTGTCTTCACTTGGTTTCGGGATAGTATTCAAAACACCACGTTTCGTCACCAGTCAAAATGTTGCACAGAAAGTTTATGTCTTTTTTAGCCTCTTTAATGATGTCTCTCGAATGTTGAATTCGAATCAATTTTTGGTCATCCAGCTTGTGCGGAACAAATCGTAAACACACCTTTCTCAAAAAAATTCTTGGTCAAAATGCTATGGATTGAATCTTTAGAGATATTTAATTCCATTTCTATGTATCTCAATGAAGATTTTGGATCATTTTTGATAAATTCATGCACTTTTTCGTCGGTTTCAATCTCAAATTTTGGCTGGCCATCATGTTCGTCGTCTTCCAGTGACACACGATCCGCTTTGAACCGTGTAAACTACTCGTGGCTTGGGCAACGAGACAAACTATATATGCGAATATTCAAGGGTGTGAATCTACATGAAAAATTAATGTTAGTTTGCTTTTTTATAAACTCTGGTCCAAAAATGTTTCCTTACAAAAACTCGGCGTGTTAAAGTTTTAGGAAAAAAATGGAAATTAATTAATATTTTCAAAACCGCTTCAGATATTTCACATAGTGAAAGTTAATAAAGTTGCATATTTTTCAATGCAAAATAAATTTTAGCTTTAACAGTGACGTGCGTACGGGTATTGACTTCGATATTTTTTAAGAAAAAAGTGGTACGTCAATGGTTTTTTGCCAAATAAAAATTATTTTTGTATTCCCCGTTCAATTTAAAACAAATTAATGATCTCTCTCGAATTGTTTTCATTCGATGCGCCATTTTTTGGTAAGAAAATAAAAACCGTTCTATTGTCTAACTTGCAAAATTATTAATTTAATTGGAAAAATTAAACACGTTAGGTGTAATGAACAACTACCGCTGACTACATAACATTAAAACCAACTAAATGATTACAAAAATTGTTGAAAATGGATCCCTTCACTTAGTATGCATGCTTCCGCCCTCCTCATGGAATTGCGCACTCGTTGAAATATACCTGGAGTCTTTTTTATTTTATCACAAGCTGCAACTATTCTTTCTCTTAATTCCTCTACAGTGTTAATGGGACTTGTGTACACTAGTGTCTTACGATAGCCCCACAAAAAGAAATCTAAACTGTTGAGGTCTGGGGACCTTGGTGGCCCATTCTTGGGGCCCACCGTTGCCAATCCAACGATTTGGATAAACAGTTTGTAAATAATTACGTTAACCGAAAATCAGTGTTGGAAATGGGTTCGGCTTAGGGATTTTCTTCTGCCCACAATTGATTATTGTGGAAATTCTGGATGGCACTTCGAGAAAAATTAGCTTCGTCCGTGAACAGAATCATTGATTCAAATTGCGGATTTTGTGTAATTTTTTTAAGATACCATGCCTGTACTCTTAAAATATGGTAAGGATATAACAAAAAATCCACTAAAATTCTCCAAACAATTTGATGGTAAATATTTAAGTGTCCAGTGATCTTCCTCGTAGTCCTTTCAGGATGTTCTTCGACTTCGTGCAGCACTGCTTTCTCAAATTCAGCTGTTCTCACACTTAGAGGTCTACCTGCAGATGTTCCTTTTCGGACAACCAGTTTCAACAAGACGAAGATGAATATTAGAAAAGGTTCGACTATCTAGCAAAGCACGATCGGGATATCTCTGGTGATAAATCCGTCTGGTTTGCTCACAATTACCGTCGGCAAGGCCATATACGTAATGCATTTCTGCCAATTCTGCATTTGAATAACTCGCCATTATTAACACGATTGTAAAAACTAAATAATTAAAAAGATGTCACAGCGAACAGATTTTAATAACAGAGACTTGTCAGATCTCAAAAGCAAGTGACAAATTCCAGAGCAACTAGATATTTATTGCTAAATTGCATTCTTCAATTATTACATTAATTTTCTCGGACAATAGAACGGTTTTTATTTTTTTACTGAAAAATGGCGCATCGAATGAAAACAATTCAAGAGAGATCATTTGTTTTAAATTGAACGGGGAATTCAGAAATAATTTTTACTTGTCAAAAAACCATTGCCGTACCATTTTTTCTTAAAAAATATCGAAGTCAATACCCGTACGCACGCCACTGTTAAAGCTAAAAATTATGTTTGCATTGAAAAATATGCAACTTCATTAACTTGAAATAACTGAAGCGGTTCTGAAAATATTAATTAATTTCCATTTTTTTCCTAAAACTGCAACACCCCGAGTCTTTGTAAGGAAACATTTTTGGACCAGAGTTTATAAAAAAGCAAACTAACATTAATTTTTCGTGTAGATTCACACCCTTAAATATTCGTATATCATTAAGGAACACCCTGTATACATAACTAAGAGCCCGTGAGAACTTTTGATCTGAATGCTCTAGAGAGCTTATTCGTACGCTTAAATTTTAATAACATTCTAAGCATACAGTACAAACTATTTTATGCTAAATTGTATAAATTTTATTCATGCAAGCTACTTGTAATTCCGGGGATAAATCTGTGGAACATGCAGATAAAAACAGCAAAAGAAAGGGTAAGTGCACATATGGTATAGAGAATATAATTTGTTTAGTAATTTGAGTATTTAATTGAATTTCCTAGAATTTTCTTATAGTTAGGTGAACTAGGAGCGAGTAATATGACATATCTTTTCCAATAAATGGCATTGCAAATGTTACACAAATCATGGATGTTTGGTTGTCCAAACAACTTTATTTCAAATTACTAGGTCAAAAACATGTAGGAAATTATAGTCAGCTGTGAAGTCTTGTGCGTACGTCCGACTAGACCACACAAACATATTGTCTGTTCACGAACTCAATTCTCTGCGTCTGCTTATAAACTATAAAAGTTTTGCAATATGATTTAACAAACGGACGCAGGATGCTGCATGTTACTGCATGATGAGACATGTTCAGGAGTGCATAGTAGCCGCCAGGAGCACGTCTGTTGATTTAGTTGTTCATTCGTATTTACACTGTAAAGTGCCGACTATGGCATCGTATCTAGTCAGTTTAAGGCAGTTTTACGGTATAACTTTACGCGTGGTTTAAGCATAGACCAGTGCTTAGTAGAACTGACGCTTGCGTTAAAGAATAATTGTCCCCATCGTACGACTATATTCAGATTTTACACAGAATTACAAATGGGGAAGTTCACTCTGGAGGCCACTGAGAGGGAAGCAAGGCCGCGAACGTCAGTTACGCTGCTATAATTTTACAAATAGACCTTAATGTTATATTTGTGATAGGTAAATCAAAGAAGAAGGAGGAAAAGAAAGAAAAGAAACAACAGCAACCTAAGAAGGAAACGCCGAAAAAAGAAAAAGAGCCAGAAGAAGAAATGGATGCAGCAGATGCACTTCTTGCAGAAGAGCCCAAAAGCAAGGATCCGTTTGATGCCATGCCCAAAGGGTATGTCAAATCACATTATATTAGTAATACAGGTATATCAAAATATATAAACTGGTGGACAGTTGCTTTGTAACATGGAAAATTTTACCCAAATTCAAATCTCGATTTTTTCGGAACGGAAAGAGAAATCGAGTTGCGATGTTCTCCTTTGAGAACACGTATAGGGTTCGACAGGTATATTTCTTTTGTTTATCCACTTATACAGGGTGAGCAGAGGAAGTCATGTTTTTGTAGCAGAGTTTGGGGCTAGTCAGATTCTCAATTTTTGATCTTGGAAATTTTTCTATGCATCTTTGGACTATCCTAAAAAAGTGATATCGGAAATTTTTCGAAAGTTGGCTATAACTCAAATTATCGAATTTTTAACTTCCCGCAATAAATGTATTTCTCGTATTTTTATTCATCCACTTATACAGGGTGAGCAAAGGAAGTCATGCTTTTTTAGAAAAGTTTGGGGCTATGTCTAATTCGCAACTATTGATCTTGGAAATTTTTCTATGCATTTTTTTGATCTTCGGACTATCGTAAAAAAAGTAATTTCTCAATTTTTTCGAAAGTTGCTTATAACTCAGATTATCGAATTTTTAACTTCCCGCAATAAATTTCTTTCGGCTCGACCGCGTATTGTGAATTTTGAAATTTGATAATTGTGAATGATTCTGATGATTTTTTTAGAACATTCAACATGGATGACTACAAGCGTTTCTATTCCAATGAAGATGAGAAGAAATCCATTCCTTATTTCTGGGAAAAGTTTGATCCTAAACATTACTCTATTTGGTATTGTGAATATAAATACCCTGAAGAACTTGCTAAGGTAATTATATTGTCTTAAGTGTAATTGGGCTAGTATTTTTAACAAATTATTGATTAATATTGCCTTCAGGCTTTCTAGTTCATTTTTCAACATCACCTTTTGTATGATTGAATCGGTCACACAATTTAATCTTTTCGGGAGGCAATAAAAACTGTGATTGACAAATGTCAGTTTTTGCGCCTAATATAGCATTTTAGTTTTGAAAGGTTGAAATTTTATATCCTTTACAATTTATAATTAATAGTAATGGAAACAGCTCGAAAAACTGTTCTAGCCTTATGGCGTTTCAGCAGAAAATGGGTTTTTGGAACTAAAAGAATCCTATAATCATATGCTTTATTGATTATTAATGAAAATTACACATAAATATTAACTTCTCGACATGTGACAAGTTTTAATTTTGTATGCATTACAAAGCAATCACCATAGGAAAATAAAATTTCCCGCTTGACACTCAAACCATGAATGCAGCTGCAAAAACCGAAAGTTCTCCAATTTTGGCCTGAAAAAATGTTGATATCGCTTTAAAGTAAATTAATTTCAAAATACTCTTCAAGGTCTTGTGTTTGGTCTTCAATTTAGATCCTTGGCGAACCCAAATATTACATTTTTTAACCACAGAATATACCTACACGGTGTAACCCAAATCAAAGTTATTTAAACATTTTTTTTTCAAATAAATTACAATTTTTGGATAGTTTCGAACAAAAAAGTTATAAGCTATCTAATGTTTGAGAAACCCTAAACAATATGTATTTACAGTAATGGACAAAATTAAAATTGTGCTATATTTCTTTTTTAACTTGTTTTATTAATACACCAACCTGTATACACAATTCGTTATAGCATAATACTCGCTCATACATAAATAAATTCATTAGACTCCCTTCAATAAAAAATTAATTGAAACAACTGGAACTATGAAGGACAAAAATATATAGACAAAGCAAAACAATTATAGAAAAAAGAAGCAAAGTTCATTGAATTATAGAAAACCAACCATGTTTTTGTTAATATTTTGTAGCATAACCATTATTATCAAACACCGCCTGGCATCGTCTCGGCATAGATTGTAGATATAAGATTCATCAATCTGTCTCCACTTTTGCTCTAAAGCGGCAAAAAGTGCGTCCTTGTTTGAATAATTTTTATCTCGTAATTGCTTATCTAATTATTCCCATAGATTTTCAATGGGGTTTATATCGGGAGACTGTGAAGGCCATTTGAGAACTGGTATTTTTTTATTTGAAGTGTGCTTCGGGTCATTATCTTGCTGGAAGATTGATCTTAAGGGCATATTGTCTTCCATATAGGGTAACATGACATGCTTTAGTATGTCTGTGTATACAAACTTATCCATAATGCCATCTTTTCTATGTAAAGGTCCCATCCCAAACCCCGAAAAGCACCCCCAAACCATAACAGACCCGCCTCCATGTTTGACAGTGGGCAAAGTGTACTTGGGGTTCAGTCTTTGTCCTCAAGGACGTCTAAGGTCATAATGTACTTGGATTCGTCACTGAAACATACCCTCTTCCAGTCACAGATGCTCCAATCAAGATGCAACCGTGCAAATTGTAATCGGTCCTTACGGTTTTTCCTCGAGATTGGCGGCTCCTTACTCGGGCGACGTACAAATAACTTCAAATCATTTAATCTTCTACTTATAGTTTTCGTAGAAACATTGACAGTTCCTTTTGTCACGATTTCGGCTTTTATTTGTCTTGGGGTTTTAAACGGATCTTTTGACGAAATTACTTTTATTAATCTAACTGATCTAGCATTTAGTTTTCTATGCCGACCACTTCTCTTAGAGGCTTCCAAGATACCTTTTTGTTTATATTTGTTCAGTATTGCCCAAACTGCTTTACGCTTCAACTTCAAATTTTTGGCGATGGCGACTTGAGGTTGACCATGTTTGTATAACTCAATGATCTTAGTTTTCACATCGCAAGAAATTTCTGGACCACACGGCATGGTCTTAAAATCACTCAACTTATTCCACAATACTGGATGAACACAAACTAATTCTCTTCTGACACGAAACTGTACTAAACTAATGTTGAAAAGAATTTGTCTACATATTTTTGTCCCTCATAAAAAAGTTCATACTTGTATTGTGTTCAGTGCAGATAATGTAAAAACAAGGAATTTAGTTTTTCTATTAATAACGCATTTGTTTATGGAGCAATGAAGTACGAGTATGAATTCGTTTTCTAAACGTATTTAGGTAAATATTCATATTTGTCTATATACTGTTGTCCATTACGGTATATCCAATGCTTAAAAACCTAACCCTATCTGTTAGGCCAAAATTGGCGAACTTTCAGTTTTCGCAGATTGTACAGGGTGGCCAACTAAGAATGCGCGGTACTGTATCGTATCCGGGAACCTATCCATCGTAGAGGCTTGCGGCAAAAACATTATTACTAAAACGGCCAAACCGCTAGGGGGCGTAACTGCAATCTTTAATCTAAAAAAGTGATGTTTCTGTGTATTCCGCTATATTAACAAAAAAAATGCCTGATCTTTAAATTCGAGGGTAATCTGGACCTTTTTCGTTTGACAATTTTTGCTATATCTCTAAAAATAAAGTGGTGAGCGGTATTCAAAGGTTTGTGTAAAAAACACCCTTTATCTTCGAAACGGCTGAGCCGATGTTAACAAACTTAGGCTAGTTGAAAAGAGCTATTCTACAAATGTTGTAATATTTGAAGTTTTGTTAGTTTGTAATATTTGAAGTTTTGTTAGTTTCACATGTGGTCGCTGGAGGGTTCTTTTCGATATTCCGACAAATGTTCAATTTTCTCAAAAAAATACATGTATTAATATGATTTTTTTATGAAAAAGCAGCTAAATGATGTCTTAACAAGCTCGCGAAAACCGCATCTCGATAACTTATTCCTAAACTAAAATTTTATATGAAAATCGCTTGAATTTTTATTTTTGATAAACTAATTTTTCTGGAATTTCTTTTTATTATTATGTTGTGGCCCGAAAAAGGACCGTTTCAAAAAAGAAAAGTTTTTAATCTCCCAGTAAATGCTTGAAATGCTGATCATCACGCTCTAAGCATTCCTGGAGCCTCTCATGGGTAGACCAAACTGCAGCTTCAATGTTGGCTGTCGGTATATTGCATATTGCATTACGAATCCGATTTTTCATATCTTCTTTGGTTGTAGGTTTAGTCTGAAACACGATGTCCTTTAACCGTCCCCATAAATAAAAATCAAGTCTGGTGTCCGTGAAGGCCATGAAAACAGGCTTCCTCTTCCAATCCACTGCTGTTGAAATACTGCATTAAATGCTTTCGCACAATAATATCAAAATGTGCTGGGCCCATCCAACTTCAAAAACAAGTTTTGCCGTGTTGATTGTCCAAAAAGTCAAGTAAAGACACTACCATTTGGGGATTGCTCGAAAAAATATGGCCCAATATTCTGCCTCCCAGTATGCCACACTACACGTTTAAACTCCCAACGCCCTTGCTGCCGCAACCATTGCAGATTTTCTGCAGACCAATAATGCATATTGTGCAGACTCTCCCGTCACTATCAAAGGTGGCTTCATCGGTCCAAACAATTCGTAATAAAAATTCTGTATTTTCGCGTATCATGTCTAACATCCAATGGCAATAGTCCAACCTTCGATCAAAGTCTTCCTCTTTCAAAGCCTGATGCGAAACAACATAATATGGGTGCATTTTAGAAGTACAGCAGACGTTCGATAATGTAAATTAATTTAATCCAAGTGTGGTTCACATTATCGAAATGTTTACATTAGCGAACGTGATTTATATAATATTTGATTTATTAAAAGAAACGTTTAATACATACTATTTATAACAAAATAAACAAATATTCTAACAGCGATAAGTATTTTTTTAAGTAGAAGAAAAATAATTAACAATTTTTGTCTGCGTAAATTTGCGCTTAGCATTGTCTTCTAATGCCTGCGCCCGTAATTTACGAAGAACTAAAATATCCGTGTATGAAACTTCTTTTCTTTCAGCCCAATCTAAAGCTTGGTTAAAAACTTGTATAGCTTGCGCGTCAGTTACTACACTTCTGACTTCAATGGGATCGTTCTCATCATCCTCACTGTCCATATCCTCCTCCTTATCAGCATCATTCGACTGCTTATCTTCGTTCCATAAATTAATATCAGCAGGAGTACAAACAATGTTGGGATTCACTGTTTTCAATAAATCAACAACATCCAATGACACGCTAATAACATTATCATTATTGGATCGCAAACGTTCTCTAATTACGCTTAAGGGGACATCGTCTTCTTCATCATCTTCATTATTGGTACAAAAGAGATTGTTCCAACATTTTTGAATAGTTTGCTGGTTAAGTTCATTCCAGGCCATATGTAAATCTAAAACAGCTTCTCGTAATGTTACTTTTTTTAAAGACTCAGATAAGTTTTCAGGATTCTTTGATAAGACAGACGAAAGTAGAAACTTCCTATAGTATAGTTTGATGAGTCTTATTATATTCTGGTCCATCGGTTGAATTAACGATGTTACGTTGGCGGCATGTACATGACGAAAATTGCCCATCCCTGCTCCTCAGTTGTTGCTCGGGAGGATGACTTGGTGCATTATCCAATAGTAACAACGCTTTTATTGGAAGCTTCTGTTGTTTTAGGAAACCTTTTACCTACAAATTGAAAACACATCTTCAAATTATGAATAGAGCATTTGTGATAATTGATTGTCATGCCTGAGGGACAAAGCACCTGTGGAACCATTTCAGGAATATACTGCTAGTCATCCAAGCGGTTTTTGAACAGTCATAATCAACAGGGATATTAACATTTTTAAATGAGCGCGGATTTTTTGCTTTCCCAATTACCAGTGGCTTTATTTTGTGTGAACCATTAGCATTAGTGAAGGCTAGAAACGTTATTCGTTGTTTCTCCGGCTTTCTTCCCGGGGCAGATTTTTCAAATGATGCAGCATAGGTTCTCTCTGGTAACATTTTCCAATAAAG